GGGACATATTTGGCCATACTTTCTTATCTTTCGCGGATGCGTGCGCCTGTTCGAAATGTCGCAGAAGATCCTCCTCAAGGAAGATCTTTTCACTCTTCTCATCTTCAAAACTATCTGATTCAGAGCCAGCACTCCTAAGTCCTTCAGGACGGTAAGAAAAAATAATTGTTCTTAGACGCAACTGATTCTACATTCAACTGTTCATACACGGGAATTCACAAACCCCTCCGAGGCAGGGTTTGCTTATTAGTCTAGCTACCGACTACCCGTCAAGTCCACAGACAACAGTCTGTCGGGACAGCCTTGAGTGAAGTTCAGCCGCGAACTGAGCAGACTGATGGGCCTAGTGAATAAGTCGTCTTCTATCATTCAAAGATAACACGTTCAGGCGTAGCTCAGCTCAGATTGGACAAAGCGACTGCGATAGTCGTAGTACACCATGACGAAGACAATTCGTAGTCAAATAAGGCTTTATCCGTCGTCTGACACCGTCCTTATATGCAGAAAGACAAGTGAAAACGTCACTTTTTGAGTGCAGGCGTTGCTGGCTTACTTATGCAGTAACTGACCAGCGAGTTACAGTTTAACGGAGTTTCTGGACGATCGGGGGACTTTGTCCCGGCTGCGCTAGATACAGTAGTGGGCAACGGCACCAAAAGGAATAACCTCCTACCAAACAGTCATCGCTTGCCCCACCGCTCTCAACTTTCTACTCGTCCAGTAGGTAAGAGGCTATATGGGCTGTCAATGAGGATGTTGAAATAAGAAATAAGCGACTAAGACCGGCTTTCTAACTTTTAACCCTCAATGACAAAAAGTAGTACTCACGACATGACAGAATGATTCGACGAAAAGGGCAAAAATAGCATGGAGCGTGAAGAAAAACTCTGAATAGTCTTATATATTATTACCAAGCATGGTCGATTATAAAATTGATGAGTGCAGAATGGGAGACTTATGCAGTTTATCAGAATGGTGCTGGGCTGAACGTCATGATTTGGATGTTTCAGTTTGCGGGTTTGAAATCCAACCTGGGAATCACAAACCCGTGCGTAAGGACATTATTCGCGGGCGTTATTTTGACGAATATCCCACAGCACCATTTCTTAGTTCTGCAGAAGTGAAAGCATACGCACCGAAACTATTTTTGACCAAAGTAAAAATAATGGTTCGCCAGTCAAAAAAACCATTCCAACTCATGACGCAATAAGAACACCGAGAGTCACTGTATTCCCATGAAACGGGGCCTAGCTCCAACCCGTCATGTGACCGGAGGCATCAATGGAAATCCTTGTATTCCAACTACTTAGAACTCGCTTAAATCGCATGTTTTCGAACTTTCAGCATCTCGAAAAAAACATACGCCCATGAGTGCACTGCTTTCCCCTGAGTAGGCATCCGCTATTTCAAGTCCGAATGCAGGGGATGGCACCAGAGATTAAATATTGTCAACTACCCTGCAAGCTGTTTTTATTCGTATTGTCTGAAACTATTTCATTTAAACGTCAGAAAATCACCCTATCCTCTCTTTATCTCTCTTCTTATGATAAAAAGTCTTAGACCCAGAGAATTACCTAAAAATAATTCTAATTAAGTTGATCTGCTTGCTGAACGTATCGAGTGGCCCAATGAAGCCATGTATGACAGCACACGGTACAATTATGTCAGGCAGGCATGGTAAAACTAAGAAACACGTGTAAGGGTGTGGAACAATCTTGAGTAGCAAATTATGCCAATCATTGATGTGCTTACAAAGTGCAGATGATGTGTTATTATGTTCCTATGACTGATGATGGTAAAATAAAATGATTACAGTAAGTACCTCGTCGCACCTAAAAAGTCGTGCTTTCAACCTGTTGCTCTGAGTTCGTCCGATACTTTAAGGATAAATGAGGTTAACTGAAATTCAGTGAAATTGATGTCCGGGAAAAAAATATATCCCTCAGACTCTGAACAGTTTACTCTTCGAAAACAAACGTAGAATGACAGTACTGCTGTGAAACTGAGAGGACGTGAGGACCGATTGAATTTCTTTAATGACGGTGTGCTTAGAGGTGCTGTCTGCTTAATATATGATGTACGGCTGACAGCATTTATCTTATTCCCGGCATGATAACTATATTTGTCTCTCATACACTGCTAGTCAGCAAATATTCCTTCAAGTCGGGAGACTGTACACCGAAAACCGGTACACGGAGTCAGGAATATGCCTGCTGTGAAAACTGGTGAGGTAGAATTTGTGCTTACGACCTTTAATGCATTGAAGTACTCAAGTTACTCAGTCTCAACTGCCAAACTTTCCAGACGTTGAACCACTCCATCCACACACTAAAAAGCCGTCGTTTTACAGTCAAAACATTTAAAAACTCCATTGACAAGCCTCTCCATTAGCTGTGCCACCCTTCCAGCAAGGCGCAAAACTCGCATGTAAACTCACTTAAACTGTGGAATGGCGTAGTCTGCTGCCCGCACTGCCTGTCTGCCCTCGTTGCCAAAGATGCCGACGCCGACACTGGCCTCGAGAAGCATGGCGACATCGTTGCCTCCGTCACCGATGGCGGCCGTTACCGGAGCCCCCAGCCCGTCCACACCCTTCAGGCCACTGCTCACCAACTTCACAATCGCGGATTTTTGAAGGGGTGTCAGGCGACAGCACAGAACAGTAGTCACGTTCATACAGAGGCGCAGGAAGTCTCGACAAAGAACGGGCTGGGGGGGGGGCGAGAAAAAAAACGCTTGTGAGAGTTTTTTGAGCGTTTCCTTTCGGCCTGGCATTTCCATAGGCCAAACCCAGGGGAAAGGACATGCCTCGGGTTTCGACGCTGAGGTGGTTCTTGCCACAGGAATTGTGTGAGCTGCCCAGCGGTCTTGATCTGGGACAGAGGCATAGGACCAGGCAAAGTGTAAATACGA